TATAAAGTCAGATTATTCTATTCTTATAATTTATTTTTCGGAAGTTTTATTGTGTGTTAATGTGAATGTTGGAAATTTATTCCCGCATTATATTCTTATACATAATAAGTGAGCCAATTATTAGATACAACTGTTGAAATAGATTATATCCACGAAACAGCTATGAAGTAAGCACACAGCTAATTAATGTCAATATTAGATATAATGCTTATAACTCAAGAAACTCGGTGAGTCACTACAAATATAGAGAACTAATATTTATCATTTTTATGCGTTGTTGTTGCTAACGCCTTTGAAATAAAATAGATGAAACTTGTTTAAAAGAGATATCGAGTTTATTAGTAATATTAATCACCACATTTTCTGATACATTTTTATGAATTATGTAACTTTGTAAGAAATATATAATTTAACACTTATGTAAACTTCAAAGGAAATACCTTTCTGCAGAAAAAATATATAAATAAGTTAAAGTTGGTAAAAGTGGATCGCTGATTTACAGTTTATGTTTATATAGGGATCATGCGGGAATGACGTCAGATTATATATATATATAAATAATTTAAAGTTGGTAAAAGTGGATCGCTGATTTACAGTTTATGTTTATACGAGGGTCACGTGGGAATGACGTCACATTATTTTATAGATGCTACATTTTGGTACGAAAATGGTATATATGTGAACATAATAAGATTAGATCATTCTACTTGTGTCAGTATATCAAGGACCTTATCATAGTTTAGTTTAGCACAAAAATACACAATAAGCTATCTGCGCTCTGTCCACCGTTGGAATTAAAGTCCTAATTTTAGTTGTGTAAGTTCGTAAGCTTACCGTTTACCCACTGGGGGACTAAGATTAAGAACTTAAGTTGAACAAGCTTAAATGTCTTGAAATTATGGTACTGAATACCTTAAAACATTATTGTTCTTTTTATGTTCAAGTGGTACTCTATCCTTTATTTAATAAATATTTAGGAGAATCTATTAACAAGTTTGGCTTTATAGAGCTTGGGCCTCCAATGAAAGTCACGCCATTAAATTACAAGCTACAGATTTTCGAGTGCTATACGTTAACTCAAAATACAAATTCGGGATTTCCGTGAGAAGACAGACTGAAATAATGTATAGATATAATAAACACTAAGAATATGACCAGAAGGCAACCTTTGTTTGAGAACACTAGAATCTGTTCGGAGTGTTACGATAACGAAGTTTAAACTTAATTATGAATAATGGCTTATTCCACCTTTTCGTACTGAGACATTCAACAGGTAGTGAATTTTACCGGAAGATATTAGAGTAACATTTTGAACTGTATTTTGTAAGTTTGGCAGAATTACAGTCAGGCAGTACTGAAGATCGGAAATATTTTGATCACGAAGATTGAAATATTTTAAAATCAGTTTTGTGAATACTATTATTAAATTAAGTCAGCACAAGTTCTGCATCAAAATGTAGACTTTGACGCCAGAATTGAGACATAAAATCTCCATGAAAAGTGACTACGTTTTTTTCTGAGTAGAATTTATTGCTTTCCAAAGTCATCTGGGAGAGAAGACATAAGTGACAAGGATAGTACAAAATTGAGCATGTGAACTATACAGGCGACCAGCTTTTAAAGCACGTGGCATAAAATAAACAATGCAGCAAGGCCAGTCTCACGAGGACTTCATTCTGGCTCACACAGGAACCAAAAGTGTTTTGAAGTCAGACATTTACAATGATACCTCACTTTATCCAGATGAAGACCAAGGCAAAGTTTGTTTTAGAGCAAAGCCACAATGATCTTTCTGCTATGTCCACCGCATGGAACTGAACCCAATATTTTAGCGTTGCAAGTCCGTGGACTTATTGCTGACCCACCAGGAGGCCCAGGGCATTAACCAATATGATCATAGCGTCATATATGTATTGTTTTATTTGTTTGTTGATTTTCGCACTGAGCTAAGTGATGGCTATCTGTCCCACCCACCACCAACTCTTGTGCTACTATTTTACCAACAAGTAAAGGATTGAGCGTCACATTATAACACCATCACAGATGGAAAAACGAGCATGTTCGGTGAAAGGATTCGAACCCACAGACCCTGACATGCAAGAAGGAAAGGCTCAAGTTACGGCAGTTCGTATCTGAGTTACAATTACATGCTGATGTGAAATCCATCTGTAGCATCGCTGAAATACGCAAAGCCATGAATAAGTCTAAAGATGAAGCTTCAGGTTCAGATTGTATAAGAACTATCCAAATGATTAAAAGAACGTTTTTGAAATTCTTATACGAAAGCAAATATACAGCTCTATTTAATAAGAATGCAAAAGATATAAATCGTAATGAAATTAAAATGTCTCTCACTTCCATTCTATCATTGTTGGTAAATATATATAACATTTACATAAGGTCATTATGCTATATAAGATATGATAATGGATTTGGATGTAAAGACATGTATTTCATGTAGAACCATCATTTTGTGACAAAATATGAGGTCAATAAATCAAACTTCCCACATTATATCTGGTATAGTGGTACTAAGCCTGATCGCTACACTAAGAAAAATTTAAGTTAACCGAAAGATCAATAAATTAATATGTTTCACCAATCGTATTAATGTTTTTTTCATTTGTTCCGTTTGGCGCAAAGCTACACAATGGGCTATATGCGTCCTTTCCGCCGTAGAGAATAGAGCATTGGATTTTAGCATTATATGTCCGTAAACTTATTGCTGAGCCCCGGGGTTGAAGGAGAACAAAAGTTCCTGAGCACCCCAGTTGAGAAGAGCGGACAAACTTGTTCTCTCTTCCTTCAAACTAAACAACTGCCACGTTTAGTTTTTTTGCTGAACCCCGG